TTAGCTCGTGAAATTCTCTATCGAATGGTATATAATAGTTGGGGTTTTAGTTGACTATGATAGGAAAAGTTATTTACGAAAGCGGGAAAGGGTCGATCTTTCCATAGGGAAGGTATAGGGAGAAATGAGTATTTTTGCAATAACTCAGGAAGGGCTCGGCCAATCCTTCTCATCTTCGAACTCGACCGAGATCTTGTTAAGACTGAACTGTTTAGAAAATTTCATCGCGATCTGACTCTCCTTTCAAAAGTTATCGTGTAAACGGACGGACGGACGGACGGACGGACACACTGACCGATTCTAGAGTGTACTCACTTTTTGAGTACACAAAAAGAACATACTCAACTTCAATCATAATGAATAAATTAAGCGAAAACAAAATATTGAAGTAACTTTGAAAGTTCGTTTGTTATAATAAATGGCAGAAAATATTTTAACTTGAATCGAGTGAAAAAAAAATAAAACCATAAAGATAGTATTTACAATAGATTTTTTTCTTCTACTACATTTAAAATTACTATTGAAAAAAAAGCTAATCAGGAGTTGATATGTCGATAATACAATAATAAGTATGTAGAGTGTGGGTGTGACAGTGCCTGTGTAACTTCTGCTGATTACTCACACCCGAAACAGGACTGCATCAAACTGAAGAGAATGAGAGAAATTAATTCTCTTCTCATAGTTTTAAGTTCTTGGATGAGGTACTGAAAAATTCGTTTTCAAAAACTTAGCATCAGAATTCAAGTATCATTTACGATTGAAGTATCAACGGTGAATGAATTTATTTGTGTAGTTGAACACATGAATTCTTCTTCGAAAATTTCATTAAGATCCCAATTTATAATGAGAATATCAACAACAGTGTAATAAGAATTCGCTTTAAGAATAAACTAATTATACAACATGTGAAATTTAAAAATCTTGAAATCATTATCAATTTATTCATTATCCACAAACTAAACATCATATGAAACGAAGAAAATGACAATTTCAAAATATGTATTGTAATAAAACTAAGTTGGGAATTATCAGAATATAATAAAATTATATCGATCAATAGAAACAAATTACTATGACTAGTGACCAATATAGTTCACGATGAAATTGATTATTTACTAATCATTCTCCAAATATTTTTCAATAAATTCATTTCAAAAATAAAGAATTTAATCATAAATTCTATTTTGTTTGTATCGAATGATTAGGACATAACTATTATTATTTATTAATATTAATGAATGAAGAAATACATGAGTAAATATAAGACAATATCGACGTGGTTACATACAAATACATTAATCAAATTGGATGTTTAGATATTTCTACCAGTAAATGAATAGCAAAGACAACTACTCCTAATATTGTCGCAACAATATTCCAAGTTCGAGCCCTTTTTGAAGCAGTGAGTGCAGCTTCAAAATTGTTTCCCTCTTTTAAATGTTCAGTCTTCTTCGTATAGTAACAAGCCACACATCCGAAACAACAACAGCAGGACAATATATTTAAAATAGACCAAACTCGATAAGTTTTTATTTGTTGTATAGACTCCGTCGGAGCTGATTGTGCATGGGTTAATGTATTTGTTCTGTTGTCATAATATACCAACCCTGATTGAGATGGATAATGTGCTTTAACAGAAATATTTGGATTGTTTAATAATGATTCATAAGAAGGTGGCTCTGTACAGACAACATTTTGTCTTGTTTGCTTGTTGAATGGAAAATCGCCACCTAGATTTGATACAGATAATGGGTCATTCATATTTGTCATTTTCTATAAAACAATAAATAGAATTGTTTTTTTAATCAAACTGATTTTCATTCAATAATTTATACCCCTTTTGATATATTGATCAAGCGCGCGCGAGAGAGAGAGAGATACACAAGAAAACGTAAGAAAAGAGATCATATCATGCTATGCTCATATCACAGGCAGTGATTGTTTGTTATACAGGGTCTTTGTCAGTCTTTGATAAACAAAGTTTTTTCTACGTTTTAATCTTTAGAATGCAATATGAATCTCTCCACATTTAGTTATCAAAGTTAGAAAGGAGAAAGCAAATATATTAGAAAATAAAAGAACAGACAAGACAACATTATATACCAATACATAAGTCAAAGACCATCATCAACTGTCTCTCTTAGTGTATTACGGTCTATGACTGCAAGAGTTACTCATTCATTTTTTTCTCTTTTATTCGATCATTCTCTTCTCATATGACCGCTACGCTTGACTTATCATGCAGTGAAAAAGTGAAATTAATCTGTTACAATAATTTGCTCTTTTCTACTATTCAAATCATTGTGGGCCATCAAAAACATTCAAAACATCACGTTTCCAACGGTGCTCTTTTTCTTATTCTTCAATATCATTATGAAAGTTTTCAGAAATACATTTTAACGCATTAAAACTAATGAAGAGTAACTACAGTCCATATATCTTATTAAGGGGTGTCCCACAAATTTCCGCTCCTCTTTCTAAATTGACATTATCTATATCAAATAAATGTATAGGTACTTAATTGAACTATACAGTTTTGTAGAAAATAAGAAGAACTAACATCTGAAAAATGATGATCACTTTTTTCATGATGACTAAGCATTTTACATCTTATTTTTTTTTGCAAAAGCAAAATATACTTATTATGTCTGAAGCAAAGTATCGTTTTCTAGACATTTTCATATGGTTCAATAGAGTTTGATGAGCTCTGCGAGAATATGAATATTAAAAAGAAATTCCGATGCTGTTTTCAATAGAAAACTTGGAAATCAGAAAGATTAATAAAAATCTCACATATCTTGCATTAGAGAGTATGTTTGACTTTCCATAATTTTAGCTACTCGGGTGTTAATTTATGTTTCGAAATGCAGTGTGACATAGTGAAGGTGAAAATAATCGTTCCGAGCTTCATGAACAGATGGAATATGTCGATCAGCTAAAGTTATTGAAAGTTTACCATATTCTCTCTAATGCAAAATATATAAGACTTTTATTAATCTTTCTGATTTGCTTCAGATTTTCTATCGAAAACAGCATCAGAATTTCTTTTTTTGATACTCATATTCTTGCTAAGCTCGTCGAATTCTATCGAATTATATGAAAATAGCTAGAAAACGATACTTCGCTTCAGACGTTACAAGCATATTTTATTTTTGCAAAAAAATGTAAGATGTAAAATACTTAGTCATCATGTAAAAAAGTGATCATAATTTTTCAGATGATAGCTCTTCTCATTTTTCTACAAAACTGTATAATTCAATTAAGTACCTCTAAATATATTTGATATAGATAATGTCAATTTATAAAGAGTGGCTCGACATTTTGGGAACACCTTTTAGTATAAGTAACAGTAACACGCAGTGCTTACAAATAAATAACAGGTTACGGGTAATATTTATTCATAGAAATTCGAGGTTAAATAACATATAGTAATAGTTGTGTAGTTATGTTCCCTTCGGAAGAACGTATTGATTGCCATATGAATGTAAATAATTGAGTAATATTATTCCAAAGCTGTGACTCAGTTATTTACATTCATAGCCACTGTATTTTTCTATTGCTTGTAATATGATGGTATGTGGGATATAGCTATTCTTCACTAATCCTAATCACAATACTTATTTATTGGATGATATTTAAAAATTCTTTGAAATCAAATTAGCACAAAAAATTAAGGACTTAATAATAGAAGTCTCCTACTGGCTCACATATATGTGCTTAATCAGTACCTTCTCATATCAAGACGGTTCATATATGAATGACCAACATCATTAACAGAACAAAGCATTTCTCTGAAAAACGAAAAAATAAATAAAGAAACAACTGAACAAATTCTTACTATTTCTATTCATATGATAAACTATTTTGTTTACTACTTTTTCGTAGCAACTCAGTGTCTTTTCGATAAAGAGTTAACAAATTTGTAAGATTTCTCATAGATTTGATTTCTCTTTGTCTTTAGTAGTTTGAGTTAAATTTTAGTTGATGAATGCATCCATTCTTTAAAATGGTGCATAACCATTTAAACAGCAATACAAATTTAACTAAAGACAAGTGAAGAAAAAAAAATGTGAACTTTCAGTGATTGTTGTCATGGAAAAATAAAATTTTTCGATTTAAGTAACTCACTTATTATCGGAAAGATCATTGCAGGAAAAATGAATCTGAGCAGAAGATGGGTCAAAATTTTAAACAAATATTATGAAGTGTATAAAAAAATGGCTAACTAAGGTTCTTTTATGAACTTATATGCTGAGAATAATCTATATATATATATCAATGAATAATAAACAATATAACTGATAGAATGCTTATGCGATGGGAGAAGTGATAGAAATAAAAAGTTGATTTTTTTAATTTTTATCAATTTCAAAAAGAAAAAAGTTAATGAAAAAAAAATTGTTAACCTGATTCCTAAAAGAACACCGCTAATATATTTAGAGCATGACGTCTTTCGTAATAATTGTAACAAAAAAATGTTTTCGATTTTTTTTCTGAAAATTTTCATTACACTGAGTTTTTTTAAAAACACATTGTTAGAAAATTAGAAAAATCGGATTTCAACTCTTTTTCCCATAGGTCAGTGTAGGTTTTGGTATTAACAAGATTTCTAATACTCTTTTTTCTGTAATGTTAGAATATATAGAGCCTAATTAAAATGCGTTGTTACCGGGGAAAAAAAATCATCGAATCTAAACAATGATTTATTTGTTGATTCTCATTGATAAATAAAAATGCATTAAAACGTATCAAATCATCAGTTTTTGCCTCGAAAATAGATTAAAGTGTGCTGGTAAAAGAACAAACCCGTTTTAATCAGTTCAACTTTTTGATTCATCACATGAATGAATTTTAATACATTTTTTTTTTCTTCACGTTTCTATGTGAACTCAGTGAAACATTGTTTAAGTATTTATTCTTCTGTATGAATATACACCAGAGGGAGAACGAGTAAGGAAAGAGAGGAGTGAAGAGAACACATAGTGACCGGGCACCGACTACTGTTCATAAGGGAAGACGGTGTGACCGTATGGTGGTAACCGAACGTTCTCATATCATTCAATCGTTGAAGGTTAAGAAATGATATGCCTTACTCATGGGTACAGATATTTTACGGACATTTCACTCCTCAATTTCGCTATACTCTACACAGTGAAAAAGGACTCCATCAATAAATATAACGAAAGTAATAGAATTTTTTAATTATTAGTACAATGCACAAATATGTAAAGAATTAAACAAAATTTTTATCTTTCTTCTGTTTATTATCAGATTTCTATTGTAACAGACAATCAAGTCTTTGAAAAATAGATCAATAAATAACAAAAAATGAATGGTGGATTGCTAAATAGAGATGCATCAATTCCTAGACTAGTATATCAAAAGATGACATTTTTGATTAAATACGAAGCAAAAGGTTTTCAAATCAGTAAAAAAATTTGTATTTTTTATTATTATTATTTTATCGATCGATTTCAACTAATTTTAAGTCCTTTATTTTATATTCGACAGAATTAAAAATAGATTCGAGACGAGCATTCAAAATCGCCATGAAGAATTGTTAAGATTCTGGTAATTATCAATATTGGGTATGTCTTTTTTTTTTGTAAATATAAATAAGCGAATTCTTTGAATTTCTAATTGAAGTTAAGTGTTACCTAACTCCTAGTGATTCTTTATGGCAGTTGTCTGTTCAGTTTTGAATGCTTTTTCTAAATCTACTTTTAATTTTTCTTTGATGCAAAACACAAGAAATTTATAAAAAACTTCATTCTTAGCAAGGAAAAAGAATGTCATCGTTAATGTTATATTCTATCAATTAGTTCATCCCTCTTGTTGAACAAATTATTATGTATTTATGTTAAACAAAGATACAATCAAACAAAAGAAAAACAGATTATTCATATTTTTTTTTTTTTTTTTTGTGTTTATACAAGTTTTTTTTCGAAAGCAATCATCATCAAAAGATTTCTTTGACATTGAATAATATTGTTAATTAGTTAGAACGAAATTTAAAATCGAAAGAGTTATTTTTAATTTAATATTAACTCGTCTCATAGAATCAATATTTCATTGTCTGATTTCGAGAACAATCACAAAATTAAGTTTTTGTATCTTCAAAATAAGTTTAAATTGAAAATATGACGAAAAAGTTGTATTGTACCTTTCTGTTTTTCCTTCATGTCAATCATATCGTTTTCAATCATCTACTTCTCTGATCAGTTCATTTTTCATCGACTCAAGATAAAGCAGAATTTTTTTTTATAATGAAATCAATTTTGTATTCAGTCATGTAGAATGATTAATTGTCTTAGATGAAAATATTAAACATAGTTGTATCATTCTTTCTAAAAATTGCAAAGTGCACCTTTTGGTTTATGTATTAGCATTATTTCTTGGATGTAAGATATAAAAACCAAGATCTTCTAAAAAATGATAATTAACAGCTGTATTTGTTTCATAACACTTGACGTATTAATAGAATAATATAAAGCTTAAATCCATATTATTTTTTTAGATATTGAAAAACATTCTTTTACTTTTAAGTCATGTTTACCAAAATTTTGTTAAAATATTTCGATGGTTTCGTTGTTCTATTGGATTGTAAATGTGTTTTAATACTAAAAAATAAATTCTTGAAGCATTTTTCATAATTTTCATGGTGTTTTTCAATTCCATAATTACTATTATTTAATATTGTTGACCATGAATGTAATTGCAATAACAAACGAATTTGAATTGATTTTACATCGAGTAATGGCTAAATCAGA